TCATCTCAAGTTCATGCAAGTAAGGATGCCATCAATCTAGGTCATTAACATCTAATTCTTTCGATTCTATTTCCTTTACAGATTTTAATGCCTTTTCCTTTTGACTAGCTTTTAGAACCACAGTCTTTCCTTTAGACTGAAGTTCTTTTTGCAACTCTTATTTATAAACTTTGAGTAATCCTATCAGCTCATCCATCTAAAGCAACTTAAGATCCTTTACTTCTGGTATAGTTGTACTCTTTGGTCTCTAGATCTTTGGAATACTTTTGAGAATATTCTTGTTGTTTTGATGAGTTGTGTGTTTTTTCCCAAGTCATTCATCTAATTCATTATAAAAATGAATATATTATATAAGCTTTCAGTGGTTTCTTGTCCCTGCAATTTAAACATTTCAAATTGGTGAGTTAAAATGTTTACTTTAGAGTCCTTTACCTGATCTATTCCTTCATGTACAACTTTTAATTTTTCCCAGATTTCTTTCATTGTGTTGCATTCTCTAACTTTGTCATATTCAATTCTACTTAATGCACAAGTAAGATAAAGTCATGAGCTTGATTGGAGTTTCTTCTAGGCATAGTTTGTTGGAGTTTTGAATGACACATGAAAATCTCATTGGACACATGGCCTAATGAAATGGACGTCCACTTGCTTGGGACAAGCAAGTTAGATGTCACTTTCATGGAGAAGACAAAATGTCTCATGGTCCTTGCAAAACTCCAACAAACTCCAATAAAGCACATTGCTTTGTCTAGTCACACCAAATATGTAACTAGAGTTGGTTATCTTAAGTACAAGTTAATTAACCTTGATTACACTTAACCAAAGTTAGTCTAGCTTGCATCATAAGTTAACCAAACTCTATATATACCTTTCCTCCAATGTAACTCATCACTTTTAAGCATTTTATGAGAATAAACATTAAGTTTTCTCTTCCAAAAGTTTAGCTCTCTCTCTTAGAGAAATTATCTCCTTATGAACTTTTATCAAAGAATTCTCTCTTGTGGCAAGTTCTTCACCTCTCTTGCTTATCTTCTCAAAGAAGTGGTGTAACCCATACTCCTTCCTCTTTCACCATTTTCGATTTTTGAAGTATACAAATCCATGGAAGAAGATTGGACACACATTGAGACTAGTTGAAAAGAAGCATCAACCATCTCTCTAATAATTCTCATCATCTACAATTTATACATTGATGTCACAAATTTGTTTTAAGATCATTCTTTAACCATATAGTTCTATATGGACTATTGTAATTCCTTGGGAACAAATGTTTTGCTTGAAAAATAAGTTTTTAAATTGTCTTAAAAAGGTGCGTTAAATACTATCGATACCAAGTTTAATTTAATTATTCATAAAAATATACTTTTAATTAAATTATACTTCAAAATACTTTTAGGTAATTATCATTCATTCACTTGATTAAATGTAAAATATATAATTAAATTTAAATTAATTTATTAAATAATAAATGAAATAAAAAACTATAATATATATCATTTTGTAAAAATTATATTTTATTTAATAATAGATTTTAATATACATCTTTTTACATTATATTAATTAAATATAATAAACTTCATCACAAAATATTAGAATTTTTAGATATTATTAAAATATTTTATTAGTAACATCAATTATATAATACTTTAATACTTATATATTACTATTAATATATATACATATATATATAATTAATTATATTACTATTAATATATATACATATATATATAATTAATACTGTATAATAAAAATACTATTTCATTAATTACGATGATTAAATATTATTTTAATACTTATATTTGATTTCATTATACTTATATATATAATTATATATATATATATATATAACTTTAAAAATATTTTCTAAAATTAACAGTGAAAGTATTTTTTAATATATAATTACTTTTAGTAAAATTTATATAATTTTAAAATAATAATTGAATACATAAATCAGATGATAAATTTTTAAAGTATAATATACTTGAATTTATTTTTAAAAAAAATATTTATTTTAACATAAGAAGAGAGGATGATGTAAAATCATTGAAGGGATATTAGTATAAAAAATATTTTTAGTAATAACCCTTTTTTTCAATGGAATTTAATGAAACTTAAAACGAAAAAAATAAAAATAAAAATGGATAAAGTGTTATACATAGGAATTTGTTGAAAAAGGAAATTGTAATTTTCAACATAAAAGGATAAAGCAATATCATATTTATATTTCTTAGGAGAAAAGAGTATAATTTACTCTTTTTTTTTTTTAATAAGACCAAAATGAAAAATTAGCTTATATTACATTGACTTAAAAAGCAAAAAAAAAATGTTTTTCATTTTTTTTACACTTTTTACGTGTATTCTATTTCTAACCGTTGCTTTGTTTAACTCGTTGGTGGTAGTTGGCCGGATTGATCTTTCAGTCTATCTCTTGCCTTCTGCCCTTGGATGGAAGCAGGGATGCCTCATGCAAAGTTTCTTTTGACATACTCACGCCAAAATGCCTCGCATATTAAATTGTTTACTTGGTATTTACAATTGAGTCAATAATTATAGAGGAGACTTAAATTCGTCAGGACTTCCTCTTTGCGCTGGAGTTATTGACTTCAAAGTGCCCTATTTGAGAGGTCTTAAATCGGGTTAGTTTTAAGCGATTGGCTTGTAGGGGGAATTTTATGTGCAGAAGAAACATGATGCTGGTCTATAGAATTTAAGTCATAAATCCAATACACGGTAATTAAATCACGTTGGTGTAAGCAAGAATTTCTTCAGTCGTATGTTATTTACATGGAAAATTAAGCACATTGATACAACGTGTTATTGCTAACGATCTGTAGCAGCGAGAGGCTTGCACTGCCTATCAATAGTGGTTGAGATACTGTAAAAATATGGAATTGTGTGGGTTTTGGACAAAGTCGTGGGATGGGATGGATGGTGTACTAATTCAATGTTTTGTTAAAGAATGATAGTCGGTGCTAAGTGAAATTGTAGTGTTTGATCATGGAGCATGTGATGTATCAATTGTTTGATGTGTTGGTGCCAATTATTATGTGCTTTATCTATAACTATGACCTTATTGTATATAGAAATAAGTTCAATCATTGCTGGTAATCTTATTGTGCCTTACTAGTTGTTATGGTCATCCGTAAAAATGGGAATTAGTTTCTAATAAGCATTCAAAAGAGTATGGCTGCTATAGACCGTTAAAGAAACATGTTTTGCAGGTTTTCACAATTACAGAAATTTGCAAAAGTTCTGCATAACCATGGTGCAATTATGCACTCAAGTGTGTGGAATGCCCCTTGCTCAAAAGCAAATTGAAGGCCTAACCAGTGAATTACCAATTATTTTTTATGCCTAATAACTAAACCAGAAACTATAAAATTGTGAACTAAAAAAATTGAAACTGAATTAAAAAACAGAAAATAGATTTGATTTTCAAAACCTGAATGACCTTAATATTTTTGCAAGGAGTTGAGTTGTACCCATACTCGTTACAAAAATAAGAAAATGAATATATTAAAAAATAAAAAAGACAACTAAAGGAGTTCCCGGAAACACACAATAAGAGAAATAAGTGACCCACAGAGAAGGCACAGTCTAAGAACCTTCTTCTTCTTCCTTGGGCTTAGCGAAGAAAAGTGGGATAAAGTTTCATCTAAAATAGATTCGCCATCCAGAAAATAGACCTGACAATATCATCACTGTTAGAGGAAATTCAACAATAGAAACAAAAAAGCATCTTCTAAGAAGTAATACTCCAAAAGGCTTTCACACACATTCCACATTTCTTTAAATCTAGGTCATTCCATCAACGAAAGCAGTTTCTAAGGGCACAAACAAACCAAATCATTTTTCTTTAAACTATAACATCTTATTTTCAACATTATTAATCATTTTTAATTGAGGTTCCATCAGAATTCCATCGAGTACTAAAAATCCTTAATAGTTTAGGGATAAGTTGCTAGTTTAACTATTCAATAAATCCCTAAACTATTTGAGAATTTTCAATTAGATCACAAGAGTGCATTTTCCTTGGATATTCCTTCTTTACATTGAGGATACAAATGTCTAACATCTACAGGTAAATGTATAATCTCCAAGGATGTCATCTTTAATGAAATTCGTTTTCCTTATTCTACTCTCTTCTCTTCTCTTCTCATGTATCTTCAACTCAATTACATATTCCTATATCTCTTGTCACTGTGCTTCCCCACCAAAACAGTCCTCTCCTTTTCTCCGATATGTCTAACCCTATACCTACCCGCTCCAATTACTCTCCAAGTCAATCTGTCACTCAATCCAGTCAAAATACTGTGTCATCTAATCCTCTTCCTCCTCCATTAAGAAGAAATACTCATCCCATGACTACTAGATCGAAAACCAATGCTCTTAGGACTATTCCTTCTACCTTAATCCCTCAAGTTGAACCTAAGAATGTTAAAGAAGCTCTCAAAGATTCAAATTGGCTAACTGCTATGCAAGAAAAATATGATGCATTGATTAAAAAAATAACACCTAATCTCTTGTATCTTTACCTACCAACAGAGAAACTATTGGCTATAAGTGAGCTTTTTGAATTAAAGAAAACCCAAATGGCACAATTAACATGTACAAAGCCAGACTAGTGGCTAAAGGTTTTCACCGACAACCTTGTTGTGATTACACAAAAACCTTCTCCCATGATTAAGTCTGTCATTGTTAGAACTATTCTTACTTTAGCAATAACTTCAAATTGGTTTGTTCAGCAACTTGACATTAACAATGTGTTTCTAAATGGGCAACTTCATGAGGATATTTACATGCAACAACCTCAAGGGTTTAAACATTCTGACAAGTCTCTTGTCTGCAAACTGCACAAGGCTCTCTATGGCCTAAAACAGGCCCCTTGGACTTCTTTTGAAAAGCTCAAAACTACTCTTATACAAAAAGGGTTTACAGCCAGTAAGAGAGATCCTTCTCTGTTTATTTACAAGCATAAGTCTAATCTTATCTATCTCCTTGTGTATGTAGATGACATTATTCTCACCGGAAGTTCTCAGCAGATACTTCAACATCTCACCTTGCAACTTAATGATGTGTTTGCACTAAAACAACTTGGTAATCTTGAATATTTTTTTGGGCATTGAAGTCCATAAGCTGAAAAATGGTTCTATGGTTCTTACTCAGAAGAAATACATTCAAGACTTATTGAAAAAAGCTAAAATGGCTAAAGCAAAGAGCATTTCATCTCCTATGGTTGGTGGTCTCAAGCTTTCCAAACAGGATTCAAATTACTTTGCAGACACAACTCTATATAGATCAGTGGTTGGCTCTCTTCAATATGCCACTCACTCACAAAAATTGCCTTCTCTGTTAATAAAGCCTGTCAGTTCATGTCAGCACCCCTTGGAGACTCATTGGTTGCTGTCAAGAGAATTTTAAGGTATCTCAAGAGTGCATCCAACCTTGGTATTCTTCTACAGCCAACAAAATCTGTTAACCATCTTCAGATTACTGCCTTTTCCAATGCTGACTGGGCCTCTGATCCAAATGACAGGAGGTCAACCTCTGGTTCATGTATCATTTCATATCCTGGTGGTCAAAGAAGCAGACTATTATAGTCCGATCAACCACAGAAGCAGAGCATAGGAGTTTAGCAGCTACTGTTGCTGAAACTCTATGGATACAATTTCTTTTGCAAGAGTTATATGTCAATACTAACCTCCCTAGCATCTACTGTGATAAACTAAGTACAGTTGCTCTATCCCACAATTCTATTCTTCATGCAAGAACCAAGCACATGGAGTTAGATATCTTTTTTCTCCGGGAAAAAGTCATCAACAACAACCTTAAAGTACTACGCATACCATGAGATGAACAATGTGCAAATATCCTAACTAAAGCTCTATCTCCTACAAGTACAAGGTTTAAATATATTCAGGACAAACTGAATGTGTTCTTCAGTCCTGCTCAGTCACCTTCAATTGATTGTGTTCTTTTTAGATAACTTAACTCACGTATGCCCAAGTTCATTCAATGGATCTACTGTAGTGTAACATTCTTTCTTTTCTGTTTTAATTCTGATAAGCTTCTGTTAGGATTCAGTTTATCTGAAATGATTCCTGCTGCCTATATATACGAGGCTTGATGTACTCCATTTATAATAATACAAATTATACAGTTTATATTAGAATTCTCTCTCTCTCTTTTTCTCAAGAATTCTAATATTGTCTGAGGTGAAGTTTCTAATGTCTTTGTCCGCGTGACAATAAGGCATCAAACAAATAGCTAATACTATATTTATGGACAATATCAACTTGTTTACAAATGCAGAACCAATGCTTGATAATGACTAACATAAGCAACAAAATATTAATCACTTACCGGCAAACCATTGAGAAGAGCCAGAGCTAGAGAGACATGAAATGTCCATATTAAAATCCTTTCCAGTAAATTTGGAAAATATGCAACAATATGCGGTCCCCAGCGAGGCTGATATGAAGTTAGCTGAATTGAACGTGCCATTGAGATGACATCACCAACAAAAATAAAAACCCCACCACAATTAGTTTCCTTAACACCAGAAGTTTCAGAAAATGGAAATCTGTTTTGTACATGTGATAAGCATTCATGAGGACTTGAATATGCAATCTCAATCCATACCAATCCAGGCTCCTGAACTGGAGCTAAACAAAATTCATCCTGTGAAAAATATCAAGAGAACCTTCAGTAGCTATAGTCATTGACATAATTTAGAAAGGTCAGAAACATTAAAATAGTTGTCTACCTGAGAGCATGTACAGCCACCTCCCTTTGTTGTAGCAGGTCCCCAGTCATCACCACACCTTTTATGTTTAATAACATCTTTAGCATTTAAGCAGTACATACTCCTTCCTCTGCTTAAAAGATCAATTTTGCTTTGACCATCATCCAGCGTAACATTAGCAGAGCATAATGATTTTACAAAGGCAGTGAGTTCACTGGGACAAGCACGTTGAGTTTCCAGTAATTCAGTAATTTTGCTTTCTTCCATCATAAAATTAGGGATACAGTAACCCTTCATTTTATTAACCACCAACTCTCCAGAACGCTGAGAAACATTTACATTATTAAGCTTAACATTATATGTCAATGTGTTAAGCTTCAACCATTCTTGTGCATTTCTGATGGGTACATTATCTACTGACAGAATAACGTCACCAGGAGCTAAATAACCAGACAAAGGAGAGGTTGGGGGTACGTTCAAAACCTGCTTCCCATGTAGCCACCAACATGCAATAAGAGAGAGAATGATACACAACAAGCAAAGAAAATGATATACCTAAAAACATTTAGAAAAAGTACCATGGGACTATCACCACTGCTGTAAAAGGGAAACAAGATCATGGGCAAAAGGAATAATGCCAGTCCGCAAGCTGCACAACACTAGAAAAAAGGTTGAAGGTGTAGAAATTCAATTAGCAATCTGAATCATTTAAAAATCAAACTAAAAAAGAAAAATAACATACACATACACATAAATGAATAGATACATAAAAATATAGGGATAGAAACTCTGGATCTAATGACACCTATACAGAAAAATAATCAAATTTACACCAATTAATGAACTCAACAAGAAATATTTAAGATATGTTAGAATATCATTAAATAGTATTATTTCCATGCGAGCTGTAATTATTCTGTAGTTATGGTGTACATGTTAAGAAAACTTGACCAGATCCGTCAGGCCAAATGATTCAACTGGGAGCCAGTCCTTTGATAAGTTCAGTCAAGCCTCTAAACTCAGTACTTCAAATCTAGTCAGTGAACTGTCATACCAGATGCAAACCATACCATGCATAGCCAGTCAAGGTTTGAGAAGATCAGTTCAATTTTATTTCAACAAAAGTACCACTTTAGAACCTAAGGCTTGTACATGGTGTTGAGTGTTATCTACCACTCACCCATGATATTGCTTGGTAGCTTTTATGTTGTTTTCTGTTGAGAATAATATCATGATATTTAGTAATTATGCATAATATCTTGTTTAGGGGAAACAAAATATTCCCTAATCATGTTTATTGAGTGAATTGAACATATAACCTATCCCATGGTGTAGTAAAACAACAAATCAGCTCATCTGTTATGCCTCTGCTCTTTACTTTCAACATGGTATCTAGAGCCTAACAGGAGTATTTTTAACTGTATCTGCCTAGTGTACCCACCGTCTTTAGTGACAAAAATTTTGGTGAATCATGTTCAATCTTTGGTTCACCTCTCTCTTCTCTGTTGTTTACTCTTGTACCGACAATTTTTGGCAAGATTTTCTGACCACCACTGCTGCATATCCAGCAACCACCACCACCATCAGACACGTTTTGCCAATCTACAATGACATGAAAATGCCAAGCCTAGAGGCTTTGCAAGGAGCCAAACAGCCCCTACACGCAACATTTCTAAGGTGCAAGCGGGCGCGTCCAGCCACCATTCAGGGTGGTTCTCATTGAACCTAGCTTGCTAATGACATTGCCTTCCAAAGGTCCTATTACAAGGGTAATGCAAGGAGGATGCAAGAGGAATGGTCTCGTGATGAAGGTAGAAGGCCTAAACTCCATTTTGTCTATGTATATTTTTTTTCTTGTAAATATTTTTCCTTATTTTTTTGACCTTGAATTTTTGGGTCAAGTAGTGTAGGAATTTATTTCCTCATAATTTTTATTTTAGGGGTGTAATTAGTATTTTAGGGAGGGTGTAACTAGTGTTAAGATACTGTGGAGATTTATTAAGATTAATCATATCTTAGCTAATCATATCATGTAAATCCTTATTTTTTCATTATAAATAAGTTATGTGCACTGAAGATTGACACACAATTCTTAAATCACAATATAGTACCTAGAGCTTAGAATTTTTTTATTGCTCGAACAGTATTGTGCATGGACAGTACCTGTGCGTGACATCATTTTTCAACAACCCCTTGACTATGGTCAATTGCCTCTGACGACCGTATTTGGCTTCGTTTGGCCTTTGCTTGGCCCTGTTTGGTTCCGGTCACTCTCTACCTCATTTCAAATAGTGAACAGTTGTTGCATCTCTCCATTCCTCATTGTGACCAATCTCTCTCCATCTTCTATTGACTCCTCTACTTTTGTTTCACACTCATCTGATCAAGGTAGTGGATGAGGAGGCAGTCGTGGAAAACATAATCGGTGTAATTATTGTCGCTTTTTTGGTCATATTGAAGCTACTTGTCACAAAAGACTTGACGTCGATTACAATCAACGAATGTTACCCAAGTGATCAATGTTGTCTCTTCTACAAATGTCACTATTTTTGCCTTTAACTATCATAATTTCCTTCAATTTTGGGCAACCCAACAATCTCCCTCACCTGTCACTGTCATGGCTAAGTCTAGTAATCTTGTCACCCAACAATTGGCGTACTGAACGAACGATTGGAGCAAGACATGAGTCTAGGGGATTGTATCATCTTTCACTACCAGTTGCTTGTGTCTCCACTTCTGTCGATCTTGCTCACCAATGTCTTGGTCACCCCAGCTTGTTGAAATTGCATCTTTTAGTTCCTAGTTTTTTTACGATTCCATTCAATGTGAGTCGTGTCAATCAGGGAAACATGTTTATCAATCCTATAAATCTAGTGTCACTAAATGTGTTGCGTCACCTTTTACTCTGGTTCACTCTAATAATTAGGGACCTAGTCAAACTAGTTCAACTTTAGGTTATTCTTATTTTGTTATGTTTATTGATGATTTTTTGCTTTGCACTTGGGTTTTCTTAATAAAACACCATTATGATGTTTTCAATATTTTTCAAAGTTTTTCCATAGAAATTGCTACTCAATTTGGGACGTCAATTAAAATTTTACAAACTGATAATACCAAAGAATATTTGTCTTCCAAATTCCAGTCTCTTCACTCCTCACAAGGTATTCTTCATCAGACCTCTTGTGTTCATACACCACAACAAAATGGCCTTACTGAGTGCGAAAACCATCATTTGGTTGAGACAACTTGTACTCTTCTCCTTCATCATAAAGTTTCACTTCGCTTTTGGGGCGATGCAATTCTCACTGCATGTTACTTGATTAATCGCATGCCCTCCTTTATTCTCAACAATCAAATTCCATACACCATCTTGTATCCAAAACATGACCTTTATCCTATCCCACTTCGTGTCTTTGGATGTACATGTTTTGTCCATGATCTCACCCTTGGAAAAGATAAACTTTTTGCACGGTCCCTTAAATATCTTTCTTGGATATTCTCGTCTCCAGAAAGGATATTGTTGCTTTTGTCCACATCTTCAATGGTACCTTGTTTCAGCTGACGTCTCTTTCTTTGAGTCCTCTCTCCTTTATTCTATGAGGATGTTGACAGTCATCCTCCTTTGGATGCTCAACCTAATGTTCCAGTTTTGGTTGTAGTTGCTAAACCACCACCATTACTTGTTTTTCAACGAAGGACACGACATCCACAGGTGGTTCAACGTACACATCCTCCGGCATCATCTCTTGATCCAAATGGCCATCTGACAATGCTTCCTACACCTGAACCTCCTTTACCCGAGCTTCCCATTGCCATCCACAAAGGTATTCAATCTACATGTAATCCTAACCCATTATATGCATATACTCTTTCTTGTCATTGATTGACTCCTTCCTATTTTTTTTTTTTTGTTTCCTCTTTAAATTTTGTTGCTATTCTTAAGTCTACAAGTGAAACTATGGCTGATTCTATGTGGAGACAGACAATGTTGGATGAAATGGATGCTTTACAAACTAGTGACAGATGGGAGTTGGTGCCTTTGCCTCCTGAAAAGTCTATGGTTGGTTGTCGATGGGTGTACACGGTGAAGATTGCACCGGTTGGCACTATTGACCGCTTTAAAGCACAGTTGATTGCCAAGGACTATAATCAGATCTATGGCCTTGATTATGGGGATACTTTCTCTCCCGTAGCTAAGATGACTTTTGTTCGCTTGTTTCTTACTATGACTGCCATTTGTCATTGGTCATTGCACCTATTGGATATTAAAAATACATTTTTAAATGGTGAATTGCACGAAGAGGTTTATATGGACCAGCCCCCAACTTTACTACTTCTAGTAACGCTCACCTTGTATGTTGCCTCTGTCGTTTTATTTATGGCTTGAAGCAATCTCCTTGTACCTGAATTGGTTGCTTCAGCTTGACCTTAATTGAGTTCGATATGACTCAATTTGAGGCTAACCACTCTATTTTCTTTCTCCCTCCTCATTTGGTCTTTGCACTTATTTAGTGGTATATGTTGATGACATTGTCATTACTAGTGATGAATCCAATGGTATTTGTCGCCTTAAATCTCACCTTCAGTGCTAGTTTCAAATGAAAGACCTCAACCCTCTTAAATATTTTTTGGGGATCGAGGTTGCTCAATTTACTTCCAGTATTGCCATTTCCCAGCAGAAATATGCTCTAGACATTCTCATTGAGTCTAGTATGGTTGATTGTCGCCCCAATGACACTTTGATGGTCCTCAACATCAAGCTTCTTCCGAGTCTGGGGGAGCCATTGAATGACCTGAAAAGATATCGTAGACTCATTGGCAGACTCAATTATCTAACTATCACTAGGCCAAACATCGCTTTCCCAATAAGTGTGGTAAGCCAATTTATCAACAATCCTCGTGATAGCCATTACAATCATAAGGATCCTTAGATATATCAAGGTGTTGGGTTGTGGACTCCTATGAGGACAAAGGCAATTCCAAAATTGTCTATTACTCTGATGCTAATTGGGCAAGATCACCATTAGATAAAAGGTCAACCACTGGCTATCATGTTCTAATCGAAGGTAACTTGATTTTATGGAGAAGCAAGAAGCAAAATATAGTTGCTAGATCTAGTGTGGAAGCAAAATATCGTGTTGTGCCAGCAACTATGAGTGAAATTACATGGCAACAACAACTTCTCAAGCAACTCCAAATTGGGGACACTTAGGGAACTAAACTCATCTGTGATAATCAAGTTGCTCCTCATATTGCCTCCAATCCAGTCTTCCACAAGCAAATTAAGCACGTAGAAATAGACTATCATTTTGTAAGAGAGAAAGTGTTCTCAGGAGAGATCACAGCTGAGTTTGTTCACCCCAGTGACCAGTTAGCAAATGTGTTCACAAAATCGCTTAAAGGGTCTCGGGTTGATTACTTTTGTAACAAACTTGGTGCATATGATATATATGCTCTAACTTGAGGGGGAGTGTTAAGATATTGTGAAGATTTATTAGGGTTAATCATATTTAGCTAATCATATCATGTAAACCCCTATTTTTTTTCATTATAAATAAGAGTTATGTGTGCTGAAGATTGACACAGAATTCCTAAAACATAACAACTAAAAAAGGAGATACAGATTTATTGGGCTTGAATGGCCCATGAACACCTTGAATGCATGGTCCAAGTGGATGGCCGTCCACCTGTGGGAGACAAGTAGTTTGGACGTCCAACTCAAGGAGGAGACAAGATGTCTCATAAGTCATTCAAGTTGCCAACATGTCACATGGTATTGGAAAAAACTCAAGTCCCACATCTACTAGAGATTAGGCAATTGAATAGTATATAAGTGGAAAGCAACCCTCGCCTTACAAGCCAGTTTTGTAGGGTTGAGTTAGGCTTAAATCCACTATTCTAAGACATGGCCTTGTCTAGTAACACCTTTGGCACCTTGTTTATGTGGCAAGCCTCCATTGGCTCTTCTAGATCTAGGATGTTGACATGAGTCACACTTTCTTTATCTTTTCTTGCCTTGCCATGTGGCAAGCTTCTATTGACTCTTCTAAATCTAGGATAGTGACATTTTTAGAAGGGAATTTTTGGATTTCAAATTGTAACTAGGGTTAGTAATTTTGAGTTCAAGTTAAACTAACCTAGGTTACATTTAACCTAGGTTAGCTTAACTTGCACCACAAGCTACCAAACCCTATATATACATGTTCCCTCCCATGATCGTGTACTTTTAAATCATTTGTGAGAAATAATATTGAAAGTTCTCTCTAAAAAGTGATAGTTCTCTCTTTGGAGAAAATCTCTTCTTATGAATTTTTATCAAGGAATTCCTCCTTGTGACAAGTTTTTCATATTCTTGCTAATCTTCACTTGAAGTGACGCACATCATCTTCCTCCTCCACCGTTTTCGAATTTCTTTCAAGCTTTGGAGTTTCATGGATGAAGATTGAGAGCAAATTGGAGCTAGTTGAAGAGAAACAACCATCATCTCCTCTAGTAGTTTCATCTCTTGCCCTCCTATGGCAACCTTAGATCTACCACCCCCACCTTGATCTAAAAACTTTGATTTGCGTTCCCGTGTGCTTTCAGTATTGTTTCCTGACACACCTGTCTTCCCTTTTAAGCTAACCATGGCTACTACTAGCTTTTCAGATCCTCCTAAGCATATGCTCCAATTTTCTCACCTTAGTTCACTCTCTGATGTTTGGGATCCTTCCCATATTGTTTGTTCATTTGGTTTTAAGTACTTTGCCACATTTATTGATGATTTTTCTCATTGTATGTTTTTAAATTTAATGCAAAACAGGTATGAATTGTTTTCTATATTTGAAAATTTTATCGTGAAATAAAAACACAATTTGGAGTCTCTATATGTTCCCTTAGGAGTGATAATGCACATGAATAATTGTCTCATACATTTCACAATTTATGGTATCTAAAGGTTTCTCCATCAAACATATTGTGCACACACTCCTCGACAACATGGGGAGCTGAGAGCAAAAACAAAAATCTTATTGAGACCACTGAACTCTTCTACTCCATGGAAGTGTCTTATCGTGATTTTGAGGTGATGTTGTCCTCACTGCCTATTCTCTATCCTCAATGATCAGGTTCCCTAATCTGTTCTCTTTCCTTATACACAATTTCATCCACTTGCTCCCTGTACCTTTAGTTCCACATGCTTTGTTCATAATCTCACTTCAAGCATTGATAAACTCTTCGCTCAGGCCATCAAATTTGCCTTCCTTGGGTATCATAGGTCATAAATAGGTTATTGTTGTTTTTCTGCTACTCTTCAACATTATTTTATTTCTGCCAATGTCTCATTTTTTGAGTTTGTCCCATACTAGTTTGTTAAGTCACAAATGCAAGTCAATTAGCAAATTGATACTCTTATCTATCTACCTTCTATTCCTCTAAATGAATCACACGTATATCTCGATGTTCCACACGAGGCTCCTCCAACTGTACAACCTCTTCAGACATATCAACGTCATTGGTGCAAAACTATTGAACATGCACAAGGATACTACTGAAAAGGTTGTGTTATACTCACCTTGACACCAACTCCTTCACTAGATTCAAGGTTATCAATAACAGATAACGGTCTATGGCGGTAAGTCAAAAATCCGCCATAAACATATGGCGGATGGCGTGCCGGCTTATGGCGGACAAAAATAATATATATATATATAAAGCAAAACTATAAAAAAAAAGGAGACTTTTGGGATGCATGACTTTAGTGTTGGGTGCTTACTATTTATATATATATATATATTAAAAACAAAACCAAAAAATAAAAAACTTTTATGATGCATGACTTTAGTGTTGGATGCTTATTACTTACCATTGTACTATAAGTGAAACAAAATTGGGAACAACATTATAGGTTTAATATAGAAAACAACATAACAAAACATGATAATGAAATTCTAAAATATAGGTAACTAAATTCCAAAATTTTGAAAAATCGAGAACAAAAACATTAAACAGATGAAGAACAAGAATAGTCACACAAAATGAGAGAGAGAGAGAGAGAAAGAAAGAGATGAGCATCTAAAGAAATGAAAAATAGATGAAAGAAAACGAAGAAAAGGAAAGAAATGGAAGGAAGAAGAAAAAACAAATAGAAAACAAAAAGAACTCTTATGGGTCGCCAGATTTGTTGGCCGAAAAACTTTCTGAAGCTCAGGCCACTATGGTTCAAGTCACCGACGAGGCTAGTGGCCTACCTAAGAAGGCTCACCGTAGTTGTTTGTTCGCAATTTAGGAGCTTCACAAGGGAAAAGATGAGAAAAAAAAGAGGATGAGGAGGACTTCTGACATGACCACCATGAAGCCATGGCCATGGCGGATATGGCGGACGCCATGGCAGATATGGTGGGTTCCATGGCAAATATGGTGGATGCCACTATATAATGAGAAAAAACAGATAGCGAATGGTGGAGGGGTTAAAAAACACCACGTTATACCTTTATGGCGACACCATAACGGTTATTTGATAACATTGACTAGATTTGGAACTACCATCTGTTATTGACCAACCCATTACTCTTAGAAAAGGTACCAAGTCCACTCACAAGCCATCTCCTTGTTATATTGGCTTAAGTTATCATTGTCTTTCCCCTTTGCATTATACTTGCCATAAGTCATCTATGTCTATACCTAACTCCCCAGGTGAAGCATTATCCCACACAAAATGATGCCAAGCAATGATTGACAAAATGTGTGCACTCCAAAGTATTTGTACCTAGGAGTTGGTTCCTCTTCCTCCTGGAAAATCAGTTCTAGCCGTCTAGGGTGTTGATGGCTTTACACCCTTAAAGTTGGCCCTGATGGAAAAATTGATTGCTACAAAGCTCATTTGGTGGAAAAAGGTTATACTTAAGTCTTTGGCCATGACTATATTGACACTTTTTCTCCTATAGCCAAAGATGACTTCTGTTAGACTCTTATTTTCCATGGCCATGGAAAATATGTGATCATTCCAACACATTATTTTGTAATTAGGGTGATCAGGATTTCTTCTAGTCATCTTTATATAATCCTCTCATGTAATTATGATCAATGTAAAAGGGATTTCCTGTCTGAATAGAAAAGACAATTAAAAAAGCCTAATTCTTGGCATATAACCTGTTACAGAAAATTAAAGTAACAAACTGAAAGACAGTTTTCTACAGCCACTTTTTGGTACTGTATTCTCGTTGGAAGTTGTCAAGGACTAACTCTACAACCCACTCAGGCACAAGCATTGTTAAGCTTGAAATGTGAACAAAGCACAAGCCTGCTATACTTTATGGTGAAAAGGGAAATTGAAACTCAATTTAATTATGAAGACAGAAAAATGTCAAGGATTGAGCTCCTAAACAATTGGCCATAGACGCAATTAGCAGGGATTAGATCTCCTAAAAGCTTAAACAACTAGGCATAGTGCAGAACATAATAATTGAGCCATAGCCTGGAAAACCTTCAAATTATATGGCTAAAACAACTACCATGAACTAAAGTTTGGTGAAATAAGACAAATTAAGTTTTCTATAACAATCAAGCAACCTAACATTTTGATTTCCCTTCTTTAACAATATATATTAATGTCTACTTTTTTCATAAATTCTAGCCCTGCAAAATCATGTGAAAGCTACTTCAAAGATATGCTTGATGAAAATGACAAAAATTATAATACATAAACAAAGTTACTGAGTAGCACAAGTGTCAATCCTTGATACAATGATAATAGTGTCAATGGATCCTATTTTGTATCAACTTACAACTGCATTGTGCCAAATGCCAGCAGAATACACACGGAGGGCAGTCAAATGAGGTGATGTCTGCAACAATTCATAATTAAAGGCAACCAGAGCACCAGGAAATAGAATGGCAATGAAGATGGCAATGTACTCTATTTGTATTCCCTCACTGCTTTCCATTGAAAAGGTGCAATAGCATAAATCATGAGAATCTAGCTTTTGTCATTTCAAGCAAAACTAAATTTGGGGTTCTTGGTATCTGCATGATCACATAGTAAATAAAAGAATAATAAAACATTACAGCTGAAATGATCATTGGATACACACCCTTGAATTCATGTTATACTTTTAATATTAAATGTCAATTATATATATATATATATGGGGAGGGATTAAATTATAAATATACACTATCAATAAATTTATATAAAAGGTAAATTTTATTGTTTCAACCATTGAATTATAATTTTGTATCACCTTAAATGTTTATTTCGAATTTTGTCAAAATTGAAGAAAGTAATCAAATTATGCATATTTTTCTAATATATATATATATATATATATATATATATATTGGTGCATTTATAACATATATTTGTTATATATAATAATAATAATTTATTTAAATGCATAATGTAATATATTATAAAAAATAACTATAATTATTGTAATATACATATAGTGCACACAAGTCTAGTGACCCAACATCTATATGATTGTTTCCTAACCCAACTCCCCCATAAGATAAAAATTATATTGACCCAAAACGATAGGAAATAGGATAAGTTAATCACATTATGCCAGTGCAGCAAACAATTGATTGAAACCATACAAAATAGTTTATTTTATCCTATACTGACCACCAAACAAGACCTAAGGTGTTAGGATCCCTCCTTATTAGGAACAAACATACATTTTATGGGATACAAGGAGCAGTTAATCCAACTCACTCAGGTCGATAAATATTTTTTTATCATGGGGTTATGCCTTTTTTCTCCATTTGCTTTCTAACATACTTGGGAATAAGAATGAGTCTAGTTTATGGGTAGGGATCATCCATTTATATTTCTTTTTCCCACCATTATCTATCGTCACTCCCTCACCAATATCAATAGCAACTTTTTTCTCGAAAACTTGTTCATATCAGGAAATTCCATTTTTTCTTCAAAAAGAGCAATACCCTTATTTATCATAACCAATCAACCACCAGGATGTGAAGTCTCTAACAATCAGTTAGTGTGCAGCCTGCAAAAAGTCATTTATGGGCTCAAACAGGTCCCTAGGCCATGGTATGACAGATTTACCAACACTCTGATAGGCTTTGGTTTTATTCACAGCAAATGTGATCCTTCATTGCTTCTTTTAAGGAATGCTCCTCCTTGCATCTATCTTTTCATAAATGTTGATAACATAATCATCACATGAAATTCTTCATTCAGTCCCTAATCACTAAGCTGAATGCTGTTTTTGCCCTAAAACAGTTGGAAATCTGGATTATTTTCATGGTATTGAACTTAAACATCCATATAATGGAACCATGATGTTTTCTCAAGAAAAATATATTAGAGATTAGATGCATAAAGACAATATGACAGAATTCAAAGGTATTTCTATTTTCTACTCCAATGTCTCGCAGTTGCAAAGTGCAAACTCCATAAATATGGAGGAGACTACACATCTGATCCACAGTTTTATGTCTGTGAACTGTGACAACCAGAGTGCAGCAGCTTGTGTCATAATCAAGGTTTTCCATGGCAAGACTAAACACAAGAAGCTAGATATTCTGTTAGAGAAAAAGTGCAGAACAAGTCACTTGTTGTAAGTTGTAATACATATTCCAGCTTTGGGTCAGATAGCTGATATCTTAACAAAGTCTCTATTCAAGTTAAGGTTTCAACATTTGAGAGAAACTCAGGGTGCTTTCTTCTATATCACCCTGAATTGGGGGGCGGGGAAGGAATGATAGATGTATAGCTTCAGCTGTTGCAACACTGAGTAGTGCCAACTTTTAGTCAAAAGTTAGTTAGTAGTTGATTAGTTGTTGACAGCTGTTAAGTGTTAACATTCTGTCAACAATAACTGTCACCTGTAAAAGGTTGAGCACCTTGGTGAGCAAGCCACTGTACTCTGCAAATAGAGATCTTAGTACTGAGCTAAGCACTGAATGGAAGATCCAAATTGTTGCTACTCAAGTTTCTCTCTGGATATCTCTTGGGGAGTAGTGTTGACGTTTAGTCAACAGTTAATTAGTAGTTGAGTAATAATTGACAGCTGTTAACATTCTGTTAACAGAAACTGTCGCCTATAACAGATTGAGCACCTTGGTAAGCAAGCCGCTGTACTCTGTAAACAAAGGCCATAGTACTGATCTAAGAAATGAACAAAAGATTCAAATTATTGCTGAAACACTCAATATTTCTCTCTGGATCTATCTTCTCTACATTAGTTTCACTTTCTACATTTTTCTCAGAACCATGAATTTCTATTATCCTGAAACATTCATAATAGAGAAGTTTTCACAGAACTTTCTTCCAGGTTTACTAGACTATAATCGGTAGTAAAATTTAGCTTTCTGAGCCTTATCCTGCAAATCATATTTAAGTTCAATACTTCAATTGTTTCCAAAACAGTGAAAACGTTATTCTTGTTAATCATCTATGGAAGTCCAGGACCCGTCTAACTTGAGTATTTCTTTTGTGATACTGCATAACAGGATTAGTCTAAATATCAAAGGTTAACACTTCACAGTTATAGTGATACGGAGGCAGAACTATTTTTCCTGAATGCTTGTGTGTTCCTTTGATTCATAAACTACCACTCTAGCAGCCACTTATTTTTACACTACGCAGCTTCTAGATATTTGTGGTGCACATTTGTTGTTTTTGGTGAAAACTAATTTTTCCCAGAGTTTGAAGCAATTTCCCAAATGCCCAATTATAGGTTTTCAGAAAGGAGTGAAGTTATAGTTCTATGGTGGTGCGCAATACATGCACTTTTTTATTTTTTCTTGAGGGGAGGGGAGTAATATACATGTGATAATTAGGACTTTGGTTACTATGATTGAAGACATACCCACTAGCTTGTGGAGATAATTTTTCTGACACTTTTCATGGCATACTTTTCTTTTCATTTTATTTTAGTGTCAGTTAACAGCTATTTTATAGGGATTTGTGCCTGTTTGTTTAAGTTTTTTTTTTTTTTAAAACAAAAAGGCACTTTATGATAAAAATGAATTTCGTATCATGAAATTTAAAACGTTATGATATGCAAATCAGTTCATCACTTGATTCATGAATGCCCCATGTAATTTTAAAATTTTAATATAAAGTGCTGGAGATCTCATATCAACTAGAGATTATGCCATAATAGTGTATATAAGTGGGGAGCAATCCTCACTTTACAAACCGGTTTTGGAAAGTTGAGTTAGACTCAAACCCACTTTTTTAAAATGGTATAAAAGCATAAATAAGGAAATAATTGGTACAAAATTAGGGAAAAACCAGCAACATCACTCCTCAAGTTGGTGCATAGATATCCATCATGCTCAACTTGCTTATAAAGAACTCAAAATTTGACCCAAAAAGACGCTTGGTGAGTATATCCACCACTTGCTGTGACATAGGAACAAATGGCATATAAATAATTCCATTATCAAGTTTTTCCTTAATGAAATGTCTATCAATCTGCACATGTTTAGTTCTGTCATGTTGCACTGGATTTTGTGCAATGCTTATTGAAGCTTTGCTGTCACAATATAACTTCATGGATCGTTATACTCACTCATAATTCCTCTAGAACTCTTTTCAGCCACATTGTGAAGTATGATGTAAGAGAGCAGTTTTTAACTGACTCTCGGGACTGTTAATAGGAATCATTAGGATTGATTAGTTTGTTATGCTTTCTGTTAGAATTGTTGCAACTGTTTTCACACAGTTGCTCTAGGACTTATCTGTGTGAATAAGAGACTTGCTCTCTCATTGTATGTATGAAAAATATAAATCAGAAATACAGAAATATTACTTAGATCTTTTCATTTTCTCTCTTATGCCTAAACACTCGAACACACATCATCTCACAAATTCCTTGAGCCATTGATCTATATTCAGCTTCATCACTACTTCTAGTAACTACATTTTGTTTTTTACTTCAACATGTGACAAGATTGTCCCACACAGATGTACAGTACCCTAAAGTAGACCTTCTACCAGTGATTGAACCTGACCAGTCTGCATTAGTGTAGGCTTCAATGGACCTTTGATCGTTTTTTTGAAAAAAACATATGACCTTTTCCTGGAGCATTCTTTAGGTATCTTAAGATTCTATAAACTGCCTCCAGATGTTCTTCACAGGGAGCATGCATGAATTGACTGACAAGACTTACCAATAAAGCAACATCAGGTCTTGTATGAGATAAGTAAATTAATTTCCTCACAAGTCTTTGATAGCGCCATACCACACTACATAAAGGTAGTCTGACAATGATCATAACCATTATCATAATTCATTGTTAATATTTAAGAATTAATTCAGTAATTATGACAGCCTTGTAGGTTGTGTAACTAGCATATTGGGTGCACCCAAAGTAATAGGCATATCATATGAGTGATTTGGTAGGCATACTGTAGAGTACTGGTATGAATCAATTACAGGGAAATATATCAACGTTTAAGTGTAAGACAACTATTGATAGAATTAGTGAATTCCATTTCTCAAACTCCTAAATTATCTCTGAAATCTTTGTTAAGTATTAGAGAATAGAATAATAAATACCTTTATTAAGTGTATTGAAGTTAGTTAGCTGTTATAGTAGTTAGAAGTTTGTTATGTCTATATATATGTTTGTTGTAGTCCTTGAACAAAATCTTTTTTTATTAATAATACAGTTTTACTAAATTCTCTAAATCTCTCTCTCTCTCATATGGTATCATCGTGAGCTAGGGTCCGGGAACTACTTCTTCTTTTCCCTTTTTCGTCTTCGATCTTCTGATTGTCTGTGTTGTTCTTGAGTGTTCCTCGTGAACGATGATTTCTGCATTGTTTTTTGGCTGCGATTGGTTGTGTCGCACCTGTTCTTCGGTTCAAATCGCAAATCTTGGTGTGTTTGCGTGATTTTCGTCTCATTTTTTGTTCATCATTGCCTCATTGATGCTTGTTCGCTGCGTTTCGCTATTTCGCTATCACTGATTGCATTTGGTTTTTGGTCGGTTGCATTGCGTTTGGTTGACTGTGTCGCTCGCTGTTTTTTGCTCTGGTTCGAGGTTCTCTTCTTGCGCTGCGTTTTTCTTGTGCTGTTTGCTGTCTTCGTCTTTCAGCTCTTGAATATTCTTGCGCGTTCTTCTCTGTTTCTGTTTCTCTTTGTTCAATGGCTTCCGCTTCCAATCAGGCTTTCTTCACTGTTTTAAAAACTTTCTCTCAAAGTGTCCGCGGGAAACTTGATGAGAAAAACTTCATGACCTGGCAGCAACAGGTCACGGTTGTAATTCGTGCTCATGACCTTGAGAGGTTTGTTGTCAATCCGAAGATTCCGATGAAATTCCTTACCGGTGAAGATCATGATGCAAACAATGTTAATCCTATATACACCACATGGGATCGCAAGGACTCGCTTCTGTTTTCTTGGCTCTTAACCACCCTCCCCGACTCAATTCAAGCGCGAGTGGTTTCCTGTCATCATTCATATCAAGTTTGGGATATGGTGTTTCAACATTTTCACTCTCTCACTAAAATCAAAGTCACACAGCTCCGACTTGAACTTCGCACCATCAAGAAGGGTACCAGAACCTGTTCTGAATATCTCCTTCGAATCAGCACTATAGTTGAAATTCTTGCTTCAATTGGAAGCCCTGTTTCACCCAGAGAGCATGCTGAATGCATTATTGGAGGCCTTCCACCTGAATATGATTCGTTAATCTCCACGATTACAGCGTTTGTTAGTCGTGATGATGTTCTTTCCCCTTGTGAAATTGAAACTATGATTCTTGCTCAAGAAGCGCGGTTGGAACAAGCCAAAACGTCGGTAATACAAGAGCCTTTGACAATAAATCTGGCTCAAACTACCTCAGTTGCCAATGGAGTTCCAAATGCGAATCTGGCATTTCAGCAATCACAAATGCCAAATTCTCAGTCGAATATGTTTCAGAACTCTGCTTTCGAATCTCAGGGTGGCTACAATGCAAGTTTTTCTGGTCAGAACCGTGATGGAGGACGTGGTCGTGGTGGTTCACGCGGTGGCCAAAATCGTGGATCATCAGTTCAGTGTCAAATATGCCATAAAAGAGGACATGAAGCTTCAACATGCTATCAACAGTCGTTTGGTGGTTTTGGATTACCTTTTGGTCCTAATTTCTCTCCCTACACTTCCCTTGGATTTGGATCTCAAACTAGTTATGGTCCTCAGAATTTTGGTCTTGGTCTTGGACCTCAAACCGGCTATGGCTCTCAAAATTTTGGCTTCCTTCCTAATACTGGAATTCTACCTTTTCATGGATCAACCAATGTCTTTGGACACCCAGGCTCACCACAGTGGCCAACTCATGCATTAAGTGGCTCCTTTGGGTCGACTTTACCTAATTTTGGCTTCACACCACCTGGTTTTGCACTCCCAGCAGCACCATCTGCCACTCAGCAAGCTCATCCGAGCTCTGCATCCTCTTCTCAGCGAACTGTTCCAATCTTGAACACTGCCACAACATGGATTCCTAATTCAGGAGCTTCTCACCATGCCACTCCCGATCCATAGCATTTACTTCAAAGTGCTCAATTTACTAGAGCTGAGCATATTGTTATGGCTAATGGTCAAGGTACATCTATTACCTCAATTGGTTCTAATATGTTTCGGTCCCCCATTCGTCCCTCTACTATTCTGTCTTTAAAAGATCTTCTCCTTGTTCCCAATTTAACCAAAAATCTGATTAGTGTTTCCAAGTATGCTAAAGACAACAATGTCTATTTTGTATTCTATCCTCACTCTTGTTTTATCAAATCACAGGATTTGAACGAGACTCTTCTTGAAGGAAAACTTGGTGAAGATGGTCTTTATCGGTTTCATCCATCTTTAGCAAAGAGTGCATCACTAAAAGATGATATTATAGAAAATTCAGTTTCCAGTTTCCCTAAATCCTGTATTTTTCTTACTGAAACATGTACAAATGTTGTTCCTACTGTTTACAAACAATGGCACTTGCGGTCACGGCATCCCCATCATGATGCACTAACTAAGGCCTTAAAATCCTGTAATATTCATGTTCCTACTGTTAATAAAATTTCTGATTTTTGTGACTCATGTTGTATTGCAAATTGGGTGCACCCAAAGTAATAGGCATATCATATGAGTGATTTGGTAGGCATACTGTAGAGTACTGGTATGAATCAATTACAGGGAAATATATCAACGTTTAAGTGTAAGACAACTATTGATAGAATTAGTCAATTCCATTTCTCAAACTCCTAAATTATCTCTGAAATCTTTGTTAAGTTCAATGGTTATTAGTAAATGTTGCAATTAAAATGCAAAAAACAGTTGAAGTTCTCTCATGTTCATCTCAATCATGGATTTTCTTTAGCTTAGATAAAGTTGTGGAAAAGGAATACTTTTGACTAGAGTTTAGTAGAAGGCATGTGTCTATTTAGTATTTACACATTCACTCACCTAAGATAACTAAACACCAATATGTTTCTTATATTTTAGTTTTTGGAGGGAGCAATAGATGAGAGGGATCCAAAGGTATGTAACATAGTAACACTAGTTGATAATGACTCTCAGTTTTAATAAGATAGGCAATAAATTCTAAGACAACTGACCTTGTGGCAGCAACTGCATGACCAAATTCATGCACTACGACAGATATGACAGTAGAAACACATATATAGCCAGCATCAGCAAGTGTTAAGCTTAAACCAGGCAGCTGCATAAGAAGCGTTTATTGGTTCACAAAAGCATGACAGAAAAAGATTGTTCACATTTTCCACGTGTAGTCATATTTTCCTTGTATTTGTTATTCCTTCCAAAGGATCAAATATCGAATTAATTTAAATTTGAAAAGAAGAGGAAATGAAGTTGCTAACCAAAGAAGGGAAGCCAAAAAACAAGGTATTGGCAAAGCTTCCAAGTTTATTACTGCCACCACAAAGATGCAATGTTCTGGCTAGTTCCCAAAGGAGAATCTGCGCAAGTGTGGCATTAAATAACTTAATTGAAATCCAAGGAGCAAAATATTTAGAGTAAATAGCCAAAAGAGACCCTCAAAGATATCGGTCATTCAAGAATGAAAATCCCCTGTAAGCTCCCAGAACATGCATTTCCTAACTCAAATTAGTCCTCATAACTAATTTGACTAATCGAATACATATTCAAGAACTCATTCGCCGATTAAATGTATTCAAGAACTGATACGAGGCCTTGTATCTTTCACGAACCAATTTGACTACTTACTCAAATATTTAAAACGAGAAAGAAATTCAGAAAAACCAAAATTCTCACCAAAGTAACTCCAAGCAACGCAGAAAGGGCAAACCCAACCCCAATTGAAAACCATACTTTGAAAAACCTGAAACATAAGCCATGCATGCAACAATCTGAAACACGAAATAACAAAATCAAGAAGCGGAAAGGTGCGTGCAGAAACAGAAAGTGTCACCTGGAGTATCGGCGACCAAAGTGGAAAAGAGGTCTGTTAAACATGGAGATTTTGTAGTCGCAATACCTGCACTTAGACATTGCCCAAAATTTTACACAGAGAGACGCAAAAATGAAGTAATCGAAGAAGAAGAAGAACGTTACCAGCAGGAAACGGTGTTGGAAACATTGTGAGAGGAGGAAGAAGCGTGAAGCGGGAGAAGAGTGCGGTGTGTGGGCCTTTGGGGCCCAAACCTCCTGATTCGCCTGGCTTCCACTTCCATCGCCGAAGTTGAATATGAATGGTGTTATGTTATGTTGCTTATTTCGTGGAGTCACCGAGGCAACGAGAGGAGGCGTTTGTTAGGGAGGAAGGTTTTAAATGTCTAGGAAGCATGTTTTGGTTTCTGATAAGCGGAAAATAAAAAATAAAAAAATTGTTAAAATTATATCTGAAGTGATATCGAAGTATCTTGAAAGGTATTTAAAAATTATTAATATTAATATATAAAGTTTTTCTCTCGTGAAAAATTATATATAAAGTTCTAAATGTGAAAAATGAGACAATTTTTCAAGAAGTGATCCTCTACCTTAGTTTATTCTTTCAACTCTATTTTTGGAATAGTTTACATCACAAAACCCTCCTAGTCTAAAATTGTTCGTCTGATCTACAGATGTTTCATATTCGTCTTTTGTCAAACCCACAAATGGATTCATGGGTGTGGGCATTGGCTTGCACTCATTTATCTTAAATTGTTTAAGAAGTTTCTTGATGTATTTTTGTTGATGAATTTAGATCCTTTCATCTATCTGCTTGATTTGTAGACCTAAGAAGAACTTTAGTTCTCTTATCATGCTCATTTCAAACTCAGTTTGCATTAACTTTGAAAAATCCTTACAGAAAGATTTATTAGTAACACCAAAAATAATATCATCTACATATATTTGAACAACAATAAAATCAGTTCTAGACTCTCTTCTAAAAAGAATTGTGTCAACTTTGCCCCTCTTAAAGTTATTTTCAAGTGAAAAATTGCTCAATCTATCATGCCAAGCTCTAGGAGCTTGTTTCAGACCATAAAGAGCCTTATTGAGTTTGAAAACATAGTTTTTAAATTCAGGATTTTCAAAACCTAGAGGTTGTTTAACATATACCTCTTCTTTAGTAATTCCATTTAAAAAAGGTATTTTTTACATCCATTTGATAAATTTTTATATTTTTATGAGCTGCAAAAGCTAACATAATTTTAATAGCTTCAAGTCTAATAATTGGAGCAAAGGTTTCAGTAAAATCAATACTTTCTTACTGATTATAGCCTTAAGCTACTAATCTAGCTTTATTTTTTACCATTTTTCCTTGCTCATCAAGCTTGTTCCTAAAAATCCACTAGTTCCAATGACACTTTGATGTGTTGGCTTAGGAACAAGGGTCCATACATCATTTCTCTTAAACTAATGAAGCTCTTCTTTCATGGCAATGATCTAATCATTTTCGCTTAATACTTCGTTAATGCTTTTGGGTTCAATTTGTGAAACAAAGCATATGATGCATTATTTTTTAGAGTCGATCTGGTCCTTACTCCTTCAGCTTCATCACCTAGGATGAGATTTTATGGATGATGATTTATGAACTTCCAGTCTTTTTGAGGTCTGATTGCTTCATCTGACTAATTCGTCTGACCTATCATATGATCTCCAATCTTCGATTCTTTCGTTTGTTTATTTATCTGCAAATCTACAAAGTCTTCTTCTAGATCTGATAGTTTCCTACCAGTCATTAAGGTATCATTAAATTTAATATGTATGGATTCCTCAACCATAGAGGTTCCAGCGAGGTTTCTGAATACCCAAGGAAAATACCTTTGTCTACCTTGTAATCAAACTTTCCAAGTTGATCTTTGGTATTTATGATATAACATTCACATCTAAATGGATGAAAATATGAAATGTTGGGTCTTCTTCATCTCCGTAGTTCATAGGGAGTCTTAGTTAACAATGGTCTAATCAATACTATTTTGAATACAATTTGCTATGTTCACTGTCTCGACCCAGAAATGTTTAGGTAAATTATTTTTCACGAAGAAGTGTTCTAGTCATTTCTTGCAATGTTCTATTCTTTCTTTCAACTACCTCATTTTGTTGGGATGTCCTCGGTGAAGAGAAGTTATGAAAGATACTTTATTTTTCACAAAAATTTTTAAAGTCAGAGTTTTGAAATTTTGTTCCATGATCACTTCTTATGGCAGATATGCAAAATCCTTTTTCATTTTGAACACATTTGTAGAATATTTCAAAGACCTTAAAAGAATCATGTTTATGGCTTAGGAAATATACCCATGTGAATTTAGAATAGTCATCTATAATGATGAAACCATACTTTTTGCCTCCTAGACTAAGTGTTCTGGTTGGACCAAATAGATCCATATGTAACAATTCTAAGGTCTAGAGGTGGAAACTTCCCTTTTTGCTTAAAAAGATGACTTCGTCTATTTCCCTTTTTGACATGTTTCACAAAGAAGATGAGTTTTCCAAGAAATTTCAGCAATCCTCTCACTAAACCTCTTTTGGATATTTTTGAAATGTGTTTCATGTTGAGATGCCTAAGATTTTTGTGCCAAATAAATTTCTCATCTTCTCTGGAAACTAGACATGTTAGATTTTATTTGCTCAAACTAGTTAATCTCATAAAGATTGTTCTTTCTCTGAGTAGTAAAAAGTGCAGACCCACCACTTTGTTTAACTATGCATGAATTTTTGTCAAAGGACATAGTATATCCACTATCACAAAATTGACTTATGTTAAGCAAATTATACTTTAATCCTTCCATATAAAGAACATTACAAATAGTAGGTATAGATTTTTTACTTCTTACCTATACCTTTGATCTTTCCTTTTTCGCTTCCAAAGGAGATAGGTCCTTCATGTGGTTACAGGTTTAGGAACATAGAACTTTCTGCTGCCATATGTCACGAACATCCACTATCCAAGTACCAGTGTGAATCCCTTGGCTTTCCCACCAAGGATATCTAAAACAAAGATTATTTGATATCATAGTAGTTAATCGCGGTTGGAGCAGCCGCTATCGTGGCGCTCTAGAGCGGAGCGGCAAAAATCACGGAATCGCGACACATCTTGGATAGATCCTTCATTAAGGGTAACTTTGTCATTTCACTAGGGTTTTTTTGCCCTAATTCTTCCTTTCTCCTTCTTGTGTGATTTCCCAGAACCACTCTTCTTCTTCTTTTCTCAACTTCTCGCACTCCCTATCCTCCCTCTCAAACATGATTCTCTCGGGGACGACCAACGATGCACTCCAGTTGTTTTCTTCAGGCGTCTCTCTTAGTCTCTCTCGACGAGGTCATCCGACGTCTCCTCTAGTCTGTCAGATCCAATGTCTCTTCTGGTCTGTCAGATCTGACGTCTCCTCCAGTCCGTCAAATCAAACGTCTCCTTCAATCTGTCCTGTCTGTCTTCTTCTTATGTTTTATCTATTTTTATTGTGTCTTCTTATTTTTTTCTTTTCTTATTTTATTTTTTTATTCTTCTAATCTACTTTAGTGCTGCTTATTCTGTTTTCTTCGTTCTTTTTTTGTTTCGTTGCTTCTAATTCAGCTACTTCCCTATTTCTAAATCAACAGCTTATCTTTTTTAATTTCTGATTAATTCAGCTGCTTCTCCATTTCTAATTCAGCAACTTATTTTTTTTTAATTTCTGATTAATTTAGCTACTTCTCTATTTTTAATTCAGCAGCTTATTTTTTTCTAATTTCTGATTTTGTTATCTTTTTATTAGGCTATTTTTGCCTTTAATAATCAATGTAATCATGAGCCAACCAACCGTTGCTGGAACTGAAACTAATCTCAATTCTGGTCCCACTCCCATAATAGAAATGTTTAAGCCCATTGGTGACAATATTGATGTCAATATTGATGTCTTTTGGAAGTGGAACAACTTAAAAGACAAAAATAATAAGAAGAGTGTCATGTGTGACTTTTGTCTAAAAACACCTACCGGAGGAATTACTAGAGAAAAAAACATCTACCGGAGGAATTACTAGAGCAAAAAAGCATCAACTTGGAATAAAAGGAGATGTAGGTGCTTGTAGAAAAATTCTTGAGGATCTAAAATTGGAAATGAAGGCTGCCTATGAGAGTAAAAAAATTGCCTCAGAAGTATATATGGAGGGTGTGGATGAAAATGAAGAGGAGGATGACATCCAAGCCATTGCTAGAATTAAGAGACCTTCATCCACATCAAGTGAAGCCATTTCTGTTACCAAGAGGAGGGGTATAAATGTCAAAGGTCCCCTTGATTTTCACTTTACTAGAAAGGTAGAAGAAAGTATCAAATTTAATACGGGGTTGTGGCAAACAAGTTTAAATGATGTTTGTAATAAGGAAGCAAGAGCAAGGGTAATTCAATACATTGCTCCCTTTTTTTTATCAGAATGGAATTGCATTCAATGTTGCTAGATCAAAGAGCTTCAAATTGATGGTTGAAGTTATTGGCACCTATGGTCCCCATTTAAAGCCACCAAGCTACCATGAATTAAGAGTGTCACTCCTTAAAAAAGAGTTGGAATACACCAAGGGCTTATTGAAGGGCCATGAAGAGGAGATAGTAAAATATGGGTGCTCAATTATGTTTTGTACTTGTCTAAGGGCACACTCGTGATCTTCTGGTAACTGGAGGGCCAATCAAGAGCTCCGGGTGGATGCTTCTGAGGGGGGGAGGTACCTGCAAAAGGCACTCCGACGCTCAAGTAAGGACAAGCACGATTCTTGAGAGTAATAAATGAACAGTGACATACCTCGTTTTACGTGACCTATTTATACTACCTGTGATGGGCCCTGAACGTAGTGGGCCTCTTATGATGCTTACCAAATTAGGTAATGCATTGCTAATCGGCTGATAATGTCTTAATCACGTGTTTGTCCTCGTTAGTCATGATTATCGTCTTAATCACTTAGGCTTATCGGCCGTTGGCCGAGCCGAGAAGCGTAAGACCGGATTTGCCTTAGGGTCTCGGCCTTATGCCAAGCCGAGGTGTTGTTGGGGAGGTCAGCAAGGTGTCCTCTTGATCAAGCTTATCGGCCGTTTACTGAGCCGATGAGCGTAAGACCAGATCTGCCTTTGAAGAGGTGTCCCAGGGAATAGGAACATCCTTTAGGTCTCGGCCATTTGCCGAGCCAAAGGGTTGTTAAGAGGTTCAACGAGATGTTCGAGTCACGATGTTCCACGTGGTCGATAGGATCCTTCCGGTAGACAAGTGTCTCGGCCATCTCGGTGGCCGATAGTGTGTCACGTGACGTTCCACGTGGTCGACAGGGCCTTTTCAGTACACAAGCCCCCAGCCTTGAGGAGCGAAGCAACGTAAAGGGTAAACG